AGAGAGAAAAAGACAAGAAAAGAGAGACAGGGAAGCCACTGCTGAAAATAGGAGAGAAAGCTAAGAGGTAAAGAAAGGGAAAAGCCTTCCTTGAAACATCAAGGCCTCAGCATCAAAAGACAATAAGAATAATGGAAAGCTCCAAATCTAATGCAACAAAAAACACCCATCTGACAGCAGATGGATTAACCTAGGACTCAGCTTTTGACAAAGACCTTTGTTAGTGTCTTCTGGCTGCCCAGAGAGAGGTGGAAGAATGGAAGAACACCCAATCCCAGGGCAAAAGAAGAATTCCATACTCTTCTCTTTGCAGCTCTCACCTTGCACACCAACGGAAGAGCTTGTAGCTCCAGTGCAAATTGCCCCAGCTCATTTCTGCTTGGAAAAGACCTCCAAGATCAACAAATCCACTCCCACCATGCCTACTAAACCATGTCCCTCAGTGCCAAGTGTCCACTTTTCTTGAGCACCTCCAAGGATGATGACTCCACCACTTTCCTCAGCAGCCTGTTTGGCACAGACTATTTATGCAATGGAAAATGTAAAGATGCCAACACCCTTGGAAGCAGCTGAACCAATTCAAGCTGTGATTAAGAGCAGAAACCCAACTTGCACAACACCAATTTCATGAACTTGCACGAATTTCAGCCCGAAAACTGGAGGATATACTTTTTGCCATACATTCTCACCAGACTTCCTTTAGTCCATTCCCACTCTCATCCAACTTGTCCAGCTTATCCAACTTGTCCAAGACATCTGTCTTATCCAGCAGTTTAACATTTCCAGTGTACTCTCAAATTTTCATGCGGGCTCCAGTTTTACATTGGAAATACTGTTAGAGGACTGCATTGCCTGAATCAAGGGAGGAGGGGTGATCCTATTAAGCAGCTGGGATAAAATAACCATCCTGACCAATGCCATTTGGGATCATTTGGTGAAGGACCTGCTGTTGTACAGGCATTCTTTCATACTGTTTGAATATAACCCTTCCTTTTGGTGCAGAGCAAGTGAGTTTGACTGTCTGCAGGTGAACTGGAGAGGCAGCAAGCAGATGTTGTACTCTGGCCCTGCAGTCAGGGTGATTAACAGAATCACAGAATCATTCAGGTTGGAAAAGACCACTGAGATCATCTTGTCCAATGGCCTATCCAACCATGCCTACTAAACCACATCCCTCAGTGCCACATCCACTCCTTTCTTGAAAACTTCCAGGGATGGTGATTCCACTCCCTCCCTGGGCAGCTTGTTCTGATGATCTACCACTCTTTCTGAGAAAGAATTTTTCTAATTCTCATTAGAAAATTCTCACTGTTTTCCTAATTCTCAACAGAAAAACAAATGAAGTGAGAAGAAAATGCATGTGGTAAAAGGAGACAATGAGAACTGTGTTGTTTTTTTTTATTGCTACACCAGCTCTGCTGGTGATTCTGGGAAAATCTGCTCCCAAGTTTGGTGTTCAGCAAACTTGAAAGATGAGAAGTGAAATCATTCCATCCTCCTCCTAACACAGACTGAGTGTCTCAGATCTGCAACCGTAATAATCTGTGCTGTGGGGTGATCCTGAAATCAACCTGGGGTTTCCAGGCAAACACAAATTGCAATCCTGCCTCCCTCAGCTCCCCAAACCCACTGTTTCTCTTGGGTGCAACATGTCCTTGCTACTTGCCATCCTTTCTGCTGCAGAGCTGCACTGAAAACCAGGAATTTCTGCTGTAACTCGAGTGTGACCAAATCTGAAGCTCTTTTTACATTGCTTTTCCTCGTCAAAGGCAAACCTGGAAATCGTACATCTCTGGGTTTTATCACCAACATATCTGATTCAGTAATGAACTGAAGGGTAACCTTTATCAAGCGATAAGGGCAGCATATTTCACACTCTCCCCACTGCCAAATAGCCTTCAGAGCTTTAAAAACTAATTATATGAATAGAGGCACGACTTTTCTTTCCTTTCTCCCCTTGCCAAGTTCCGAGCTGCTATAATATGCTCAATCAGGTCCCTTTGTCTGGCCAACCATGCCAGAATATTAATGGGGAGATTCTGCTAGTATCCAACCCTGCCTTTTGACATGCATTCGCAAAAGTGGCAGGTTAAGACAACAGAATCAATCACTGTCAACACAGATAAGCACGAGGATTTTTTTTTTTTTTTTTTTTTGCAAAGGCACTGCATTTGGATTCTTCCTTTTAATTAAACAAATAAGTTACAGGAAAGCTGAGGAGGCAGAGGGAGAGAAAATAGTGCACCGATAACTCTTCCTGCCACAGTCTAAAAACCAGTTGTAAACTTTCAGGACATGTTTAATTCAGTAACACTCCTCAGACTGAGTGGGTGAACACAGGTGGGTTTCTATGTATTAACTTTTAAATATCTTGGGTGGGCTCTGTCATCACAGAGATGACCCTAACCAAGATGTCTGCAATACCCATTTCCCTTTGGCTCTGCAGCTGCCCTCAGGCAATTATAGCTATGGCAGAATTATTCCCATTTCATCAGCAATGCTGAGAGGGAAAGAAAGAAGCAACAGCAGCAAAGAATTCACGTTCCTCTGTATTAGGAGAAAGTCTGAAAAAAAAAAAAGTGTGTTTAAATGGAAAGAAGATGACAAAAACTGGACAAGCAATTAATTTTATTTTGAAGCTTTCAGGAGAAACCTGTTCAACCATGCAGAGATTCTTGAAGAAGTTTATAAGCCACGTCGCTTACCATCAATGGCTAAAACTGGCCCAGACCAATTATTATCATTTAAATTAGTGCTACAGGAGCATTCTAACAGCACTCTGAGGAACTGAGGCTTAATACACGATGCTCTGTGCAAACAGATACTGAGAAAAGATCTTTGTCCTAGTGTCTAGGCTAAAAAATAGGCAGAGTATGGGAGCTTTTCTCAGTGAATTCAATGTAGATGACCTAACAGGGCTTTCTATTTTAATCTCTCTGCTACAATTCCACAAAATGCTTCAACTGATGGTTAGTAAAGTGACAATATTGGAATAAAATGGATGCTAGGATCAAAATGCTGGCACTGCTATCATCAGACTGAGCTTGGCCAGTCCAGGAATGTGTGTTAGCAGGTTATACTCAGTAGTATCCAGCACTGAGTCATTGTGGGTTGTGGTGCTTGAGGCTGATGGTTCATAAATCACAAAAAGAGCCAGTGGGGCATCCCAGCATCCCTTCATGTCAAGAAACAAAGGAATAATAGGAAGACAAAAATGGAGACCAGGACCGAATCCACAAATCTCAAAAAAAAAAACCCAACCCACCTTAAGGGCACTGCATCCTTTTGATATCATCAGACTTATAAAAACACTGGCAGTGCTGATTACACCCACTGCAGTACAAGCAAATGTTTCTGTGACTAGACGTATTTTATACTTCTTGTCATTTCCCCCTCTAGAGTGCCTCATTTTTATGTTATTGTGCTTGCATTCACTGAACAAGGAAAATGACAATCTGGGCAAATTAGACTTTAATTTTCAACAGCTTCACTTACTCCTACAGTTTTATAGCCAAATGCCAATCATGGATGTGATGAATAGTAATGGGAACGTGCAGACAAGATTTTTGACTCGCCGGAATGACAAAGAGGACCTGGTTTTTCAAGATGGGCCAATGATTCAAACAAGCAATTTACAGTGTGCAAGGAAATGCAATCTGCCCACATAGAGGCTAAAAAGAAAAGGTAGGAACCATTTTTTTGGATACAGAAAATTGTCTCTGAGTGAATCCTCACTGGAGGTACCACTGTTTTTTGAGATCAGTCACATTTTGGGTGTCCTTAGTAAATGCTGGGCTTTGGATGGAGATGAAAAACTGCTCTGGTGCAGAGAGCAGCTTTGGTAATTCTTGATGTGGGAATTCCTCTCCAGTACAATCAGCTGTCCCCACCGTTAGGTTGAAGGACAGTACTCTGTCCATTGCATGGGTCATCAAGCAGAACAAGGAACTTGCACTAAACAGGAATCTTACAGAATGGAAAGAAGCTTGATTCCTCTAGAGACAGAAATAAGCCTACAGGTTCAAGACTGGAAAGAAAGAAGTCATTAAAAGATCTGAGGAAGGTGTTCCACAATACAAATAAGTGATTCTGGCTTAATTTCAAACGTGTTAGGACACAGTGTTCACTGCAGTGTTGACAAGACCAAGTGGTGTTCACAATGTTGAGTCCTAACTGGTTTTCTTAATGGTCTTAAGCTGTGCCAGAGAAGGTTTAGAATGGATAATAGGAAGAATTTATTCATGGAAAGGGTGGTTGAGCACTGGAAAAGGCTGCCCACTACAGTGGTGGAGTCCTCAGCCCTAGAGATATTGAAGGACATGGTTCAGTGATGAGATTCAGTAGGTCAGGTTGATGGTTGGATCTGATGATCTTGAAGGTCCTTTCTAACTTGGGTAATTCTATGATTTTGTTCTATTCTGTGAATTAAAAATAACCCTTTCTCTTCTTCCTTTGTGCCAGTCACTTTCCTGATTTGTTTTACATGCAAATTCCTGTGGATGAGCAGGTATAGTAAAAAAATGCAGGAATGTAGTGAACTGATGGCTGGTATTGAAGCCTCCTTATTGACTTGTGGTCTTTCTCCCTTCTTTCTTGCTGCACCTGAGGAGCTGCACTTTCTTCTTGTTCTTGAAGAATAAAGAGCTTCAGAATGGTTTGGAATCATGGAATCATAAACTATCCTGAATGGTAAGGGGCACATAAGGATCACTGAATCCAACTCCTGGCTACACACAGGACGATCCCAAAATCCAACCCTGTATCTGAGAGTGTTGTTTGAACCCAGGCAATGCACAGGAAGTTCTCAGTTCAACAAAGATGGTACCTTCATGTAAGGGCATATGATCTCATGTTTTATTACTCCACTCAAGGAAAGATCACTTCTGAAACTCCCCTTATACCCGGAGACACAACACTGTAATTACTTTGCTTCCAGCTGTTTTTACCATTGTTTCTTCTATTTTAAAACCTTTTGCAATTTCAGCTATAAAATATTTTACCTTATAAAATCTTCCTCTTCCTCTCTCTTGGGTCTCAGTTGCTTGGGCTGAGCCATGTTGCTCCAGTTGGGCAGAGATTTCAGGAGCCTGCTGATGTCATCATCCTTAGCCCAGGATGCACTGATCACCAGCTTTTCATCTGACTGCACGATGCTCCTGTGGGAAACCAGCAACAATCACATTACTGCAAAGTAAATTCAGTGTTTCACAGGATTCCACACATATTATTTAAAATCTCCGCCATGTACTGACCTGCAAAACAGAGTGTTAATGAATGGGTCCAAAGAGGAGTTCAACAAAGAACTTGTGGGGAAGGCATAAGAGCACAAGCAGATGTGATATAAATTCCTCATGACTCAAGATGTATGTTAATGGCCATATTCTCCCACCCTTGAAATCATTCAACTTACAATCATTTTACACAACTGGAGGAGGTCATAAGAGAATGAGAAGGCAGTTTCTTTACAGCTCATCTGCTCTCTACCATCTCAACTGAGGCCACCATTGGCCCTGAGTGCCATGTGGAAACCTGCCCAGGAAGACCTGGGTGGGAGGTATCAGCTCACTGCACACCAGCTGGCCCTACATGGGGAGCAGCTCTGAAGCAATGAAAGGAAATGAAGGGGCCTGAATCTTCCCTCCAGACATCCAAAACAACTAATAACACAGTTTGCAGCTGAATCGTATATATGTGTGACATTGAATCAAAGATCACAGTGTATTCCGGTTATGAAGACTTTCCCTGTTTAATCAGAAATCCTCACTGTCAATTGCAGGAGATAAAAGGGATACTGTACCCAGAGGAGTCAATTAGCTGTCTAATTTTTGTGTTGGGATTGCTCAAGATCACGGTGCAGTGCTCTTCCATGCTTGCTATTTCTGTGGCACTGAGGGACATGATTTAGTGGGCATGGTAGTGATGGGTCAACACTTAGACTAGATAACCTTAGTGCTCTTTTCCAACCTAAATGATTTTATGATTTACTGGCACACCCGTGAGCTGAGAGTCGTCTCCCATTCTTGACTTGTTCGTTATGTTGCAAAGATCTAGGAGGCATTTTTTACCTTCTTAGAAAAAGCAAAGGGGAGTTAGGGGTACCGGTGTTTCCTTCTACATCCTACCACCAATTTCCTTCACTGACAAACCTCTAAAAGGTTCTTCTAGGAGGTCTTTGCATAGTAACAAGCTGGACTGCATTCTCAGCTCAAGAAGAAGAAGAGGTGTCATCCATCCACACCACTCAAAGCAAGAACATGGCGGTACTGCCCTCTTTCTGGTGTACATGAAAAAGATGCAGGAATTCAATGCCAACTGAGAACTGGAGTTGCTGGGTGCTGCACTATGGACAGATGGGTGCTGGCTCAACCCATGTCAGCTGAATCTGGACCTCACAGTGACATTCACTGGGCTGCACACTTCAGGATGTCATTTGGAATGTTGCATGGGGCACTGCCATTCCAGTGGTGGTTTTGGGAAGGGTTGTGCAGGATCACAATAAGGATCCTGCAGGTTTCTAAGGGGTTATGCGAGTTAAAACCAGTCTCATATTAATTAGGCTTTGTCAATAAACAGGCTTATGCATCTTGAAAAAGAGTGAAAATGGCACTGAGGTAGGAACCAACACTGATTTATCTTGAAAGAGAGCAGATTACTTCTTTTTCCATCAGCAACCAATCGCTCCTTTCACCTACCACCAAGGAAACAACCTCTGCTTGGTAAGTACACACGATTTGTGAGAATGAATTTGTCACATGTGCTTACACACAAATATTCCTTATCTTTAAATTTCATGTTCAATTTGCCACAGACAAAAAAAAAGAAAAAAAAAGAATGAATTCTATTTCCAGTCACAGAAGACCTCAGCTTGAAAATATTAATTTGGCCTTCTGCTGCTGTTTAGGAACTTGGTATTTTTCTGTTTATGAAAAAAAGCACTGCTCAACACACTGGGAAAAAAAACACTCCACTAGAATCTCTGACATCCAAGCTAGAAAAACTGAATTTGATGATATTTGGTCATTTCTCTGCCAAGGCAGGACAACTGTTCTATGGAATACATCAGCCATCGCTTTCTCCTTTCCAGATTTAAATGACTGAAGTAATAGACTCCTTCCCTTGGGAGTCTATTTCACAGATGAACAAATCTAACTCTTGAACAAAGAAAAGAATCCTAATACTGTGCTTATGTTTTACTTTACTCAGTTGCATTCCACTGCTCCCTGACATTTTCCCTTACAGTCGACTCAGTACTCAGCCTCAGTACTCAGTTATTTACAGCATTATCATAGTCCCTTGGATGTATACAATTGAAAGCCATCTTTGGGAGCCTTCTATGGAGTCAGATAGAGGACAGAGATCCCTCTGTGTTTTATGATCCTTATCTGCTGTCCAAAAACGCTATTGCTTTTTGAAGTGGATGTCAAGGGAAAAGAGAATGATGGCCATCTGGCTGCCATAGTGAGTTCCAAACTGAGATAGGTCTCCTTGCTTTTTTAGGGTCAGCTTTTTCCAAGAGCCTAACGCACACAATTCTGTTTTTTTCTTAACTTTTGGAGATATTTTACTCATGGCACCATGAGCCATTGGAGTCTTGGCAGATTTCTCCATTGCAATCAATAGGATGCCTCAATGCTGGGACACTGCCACTGCTACATGAATCCCTTTGAATTATTTCCTTACTCTTTCCCATGGTTGCAACACCTCTTAATTTTTATTGACAGGCTGGTTTTATGTAACCACATCCTCATTATGGAAGGTGTTAAATAAGGTGGAACGTGCCCTAATTTCTATTGGAAGCCCAGCTTTCCCCATCAATTAAAGACACCTTTTTCCCTTCCTTTTCTATCTAACATCTCAGTTAGTTTTCAGCCTCCGTACCTTCTTCTCAATGTCAACCTAATTCAAGTCCTTGAGTAAATTATCACAAGACAGGATGACATGTTTTAGTGCAAAGTGCTTCCTTCCCATTCTCCCAATGTCCTATGCAATTATTCCCGCTGCTGTAATAGGATTACTTGCCACCACAAGAGCCATAATCAACTAATTAATTCACAGCTCAATGGGCCCAGAAAAATGCCATCTGTTTGTACCCAGCTCTCAGGAGTGGATAGGGAATAGGTGTTAAGTCTTGCACAGGTGACAGCACATGTGCAAGAGGGTTTGCTCTTCCACAGCTCAGTGAGTTTTAGCCAGAAAACATCTGCTGGTGGTCGTGGTCCCAGGTTGGCATCAGGCTACCCCCAGGCTGAGAGTAGAGTGATGGGGAACATCTCTGGACACAGCTGGGGATCAAAGATTTTCATTAGGTAAACATCTGTGCGCCATAGGGACTAACTGGGCTCTGCTGAGTTGTGTCAGTAGTATTTGGGAATGATTTTTTTCTCTTCCCATGGCCAAGGGGATGTTGCCACGTTGAGCTCTGCTTGAATTGCTAAGAGTTTGAAAGAAGTATGCTCAGCACATGCCAGGCACCTGGTGGTCTGAGGGACACAGAATCTGCCTGGTAAGTTTTTAGATCCAAAGACAACTTACAAATAAAGCAAGAAGGGGGAGATACCAGTAAAGAGTATTAAACTGAGTGGTAAAAGCACTTCTTGGGGACTTGAGAAATCCCATTTTGACTTCCCATCCCTCAGACTGGATGAATTCATCTTCTCATTTCCTTATCTACAAAAGGGGGGCTTAGTTTTATTTGGGTTTGCTCATAATGTTTGCAGAGGGCTACAACCAGATTTACCCCACCTAATTTTACAAACACAGCAGGCAGTTCAACCAGGAGACTGATTACCATAAACTTGCTTCATAGCTGATGGTGAGAACTGGGCACTTCCAGACAGTACAGCCATGTTTTAAGATGAATCACTCTTTGGAAATGTCCATCTCTTTTCACAGAGAGACATTTGTGTAACTGAATTCAGATTCTTCAAGCAGGTTGAAAAAAGCACAAAAAATAGTTGTTCAGTGGAGACGGGGTGAGAAAAGATGGAGATGGGGTGAAAAACAGAGCTCAACATTTGTAAACAGTCTGTATTGAACTTCTCACAAACAGAAGACATCTCATTTAGCTTGGATTCAATAGACTTCCAAAATTTGTCACCAATTAAAGCAAGAAGATCTGTAGTTGCTGCTTATATAAAGGACCGACCCATTCACAATCAGCCCTGTTAGTTTTTGTATTCGTTAGAAAATCAGAGCCTAGTGGAAATCCAACTTGAAAAATCTCAGCTTGGCATTTTTTCATGCTGATGTCCTGACGGAGCTATCTGTACTGCGAAGACTCCAAATGAAAGCATCTTCCTTTGAAGAGCCTGTATTTGAATACATTTAATCCATGTTTCTTCCTATTCCCCTGCAGAAAACACATGCACATGGGAAGGGAACAAATGCCACGTGCACATCTTATGCAAACCATCTCTCTGCCTTCCCAAATTCTTACTATTTTGCCATCTCAAGAACAGATACACACTCCCTTCCTCCAATAGCTCTGTATTAGGATACAGCTCTAAGGGGCTGATTCTGATTTTAAGTAGAATTCTAACTAACATTATGAAGATTCATCCTTCTCAAACCCTGAAGGAAAACCACGGTCAATGCTGAGCCGTAGAGATGCAATGTCCCTGCAGAGGGCATGCCGACCTCGTGCATTGAACTGCTCACAGGGATAGCTGCTGTATTCCTCTGAATCATTTGAAATGTATATAGATTTCTATTTCAGTCAGTCATTTGCTAGCAGCAAAACTAGAACATTTCCTGTTTTTCCTCCTGCTGTAATCAGGATATTGCCAAATGAGGGCTGTCCTAATTACGCCTCAGCAGGTGCCAAAGCCAGGAATGGTATCAGGAAAGGAAGGAAGGAAGGACCTTTCAGTTCAAGCCAAAGAAATTACATCTATTGTCTGGCTCCAGTCAATGAAGTTTCATATAAAATATGAGCATTTTGGACAATGGCACAAGCATAGCTACCAATTTACACGCGCGCTCGGACGCCGTTTAGCCCCCATATGTTCTCACTGCTATTGTTGGTGCTATTAATAATAATAATGAGCCCGTACGCAGCCGCTCGCCAGATGAAGCTTCTTCTGAATGAAATCAGGCAATAGGAAATAATTTCTTAATGCTTTTGGTCAGAAAACACAAGGGGCTTTTTCAGCTTCCCCTGCTATCGCCAGCCTCAATTAGCTATTAAAGGAGATTATGTATAGCAGCTATTATAGCCCACATTGCCGCAGCATCTTTAGTGTCTTTCAATGCAAGTATTTATCCCCGCGGCGTGGGGCACATGCTCCTGGCCCCTCTCTCCAGGGAGAGCCATTTTACAGATGGGCAGCTGAGATGTACATAGAATATGTTACTTATTAATGGTTACCAAGGAAATCTATGAGAAAGTACCCAAAGGACTCAAACTCTGCATCCCAACCCTGAGCCCAGTGGGACCCCACGGAGTCTAGCTTCCACACCATAGTTTGGGAAGCAGTTCATTTTCTTCCCCCCAAAAACCGATGAACAGCACAGAACAGACCATATAATGACCCCTTAAAAGAGTAAATTTACATGAAGGTTTTGGGCAAGTGCCACAAAACCCAGCGTGTGCGTATTTACATGGAGAGTTGTGGTTATGAATTTCTACACTGGCATGATATTTGAATACTCAAATCTCTATATAAATAAAATACAGCTGTTCTTTAAAAAAAAATTGGAGAAACAAAGAATGGAATGGTCCAAATGGAAAGATTTGACTTGTTTTACAACCAAGCAATAGCTTTAGAGAATCACAGAATGATTAAGGTTGGAAAAGGCCTCCAAGATTGTCAGGTCCAACTGTCAGCCCTCTATACATCCATTTATGTTAGAGACGATGCTTTATGCTCTCCATCTCGAGGCCAACTTTTACCTGATTAAGAACAAAGCCATGCTGTTTCTAAGCTCTGCTGTCACCTACCAGGCACTGGAATGGGCTGCCCAGGGAGGTGGTTGAGACATTGTCCCTGGAAATGTTGAAGAAATGTTTAGATGTTGCTCTAAGGGACCTAGTTTAGTGGGGAAATATTGGTAGTAGGTGGACAGTTGAACTGGATGATCTTAGAGATCCTTTCTAATTTTGGCAATTCTATGATGTAAAAAGCTTAAACCATAGGGTGATGTGTACAAAGTCATTGGGAAGCCAAAACTCTGCATATGGCAATGACCACTATTTCACATTTCTAGAAGTAACTCCTTCCTACTCGTGTCATGAAGCAAAAGAAGATGAACAGTATCTCCAGCACTCGTGGGTTTCTGATCCTGTTCATACCTGTAGGCAAGGGTGCAGGTGTCCTTGTACTCCTGGAGCTTCACACACACCATGTTGAGGAACTGATCCGAATAAGCACTCAAGTCATGCATCAGGTTCATCAGGTCTTGAACAGTCTTCTCCACAATTACTGTGCTCTGGAAAAGAAAGAAAGCAGAAGCATGAATAGCGGATATATCTTAATATCAGCCTTCTCATGTTTTGCTAATTAATGTGACAGATGCAACCATACAGCTGATCCTCTCTGACACTAAGCAGATGCTGGAAGAGTCCATGCCACCAAGTGACATAAAACAGAACAAAAGAGGAAAAAGTAGAAACCATGTGAGAGGGGAAGAGGGATGGCTAAAGGGCTTGAATATCAGGTTGGGAAAAATCTGGCCCGGGACCAACAAAGCTCAATGGGTTTGTTGTTCATGAGATGAAACCTCAACATTCAGATGTTTGATCATAGCATCACAGAATCACAGAATCGTTTGAGTTGGAAGGGACCCACAAAGGTCATCTAATCCAACTCCCATGCACTGAACAGGGACACCTACAGCTCCATCAGGTTGCTCAGAGCACCATCCAGCCTGACCTTGAGTGTTTCCAGGGATGGGACATCCAACACCTCTCTAGGCAACCTGTGCCAGTGCTTCACTACCCTACACCCACTGCTCACATCTGTACAAACTCCATGTGTCCCTACATGTGTTGGGGACAAGCATTCTGCCAGAGGCTGAGGGTTAAGCAGCACCTTGCAATCCTTTTGTTACTACAAACAATTTTAATAGAATCACAGGAAGTACAGGGCAAATCTGAAAATCAAAAACATTGCTTCACAGCCTACAGATGAGCGAGATGAGACAGCCTGCAGGAGGAAGGAGGTACTGTGCATCTGATAACATCCAAGATTTATAGAGCCCCACGTGAATTTTGGGATTTCTGAGGCACCCCAAGGTGACTTGTCTGCTGTATTGAATTTTGTTGCTATAAACAATACAGAAAGAAGATTATCAAAGTCCCAAGCTGATACAAATTGAATTAATATTAGGCTCGGTAGAATGAAGGGCTCCTCCTGAGTGAAGCACAAAGGCAAAGAAGGAGACTTGAGGCATTGGGAGTTGTGCTTAAATTTGAGAAATGTTGGACTCCAGTTACACCGGGGACGTGCTGGCTTGGAGCTCAATGATATTTAAGGTCTCTTCAAATCCATGATTCTGTGACTCCAAAGGACTTCCAGGAAACATGAGCAGAAGGAAAATTGACTCTTTATACAGACTAATAGGGATAGGTCAAGGGGAGATGGCTTTAAACTATAAGAAGGGGACATTTAAGTTAGATGTTAGGAAGAAATTCTTTGCTCAGAGACACTGGAACAGGTTGTCTAAAGAAGCTGTAAATGCCCCATCCCCAGAGGTGTTCAAGGCCAGGTTGGACGGTGCCCTGGGTAGCCTGATGTGGTGGGTAGCGACCTTGTTAACAGTAATTGGTTGGAACTAGATGATCTTTTAAGATTATAAAATCATTAAGGTTGGAGAAGACCACTAAGATCATCTAGTCCAACCATCAAGCCGTCCCCACCATGCACACTAGTCCTGGTCCCCAAGTGCCACCTCTCCATGTTTCCTGAACACCTCCTAGGATGATTACTCCACCACCTCCTTGGACAGTCTGTCCAATTCCTCATCACTCCTTCTGAGAATTTTTTCATACAATCATAGAATTACAGAATGGCCTGGGTTGAAAAGGACCACAATAATCTTCCAGTTTCAACCCCCCTGCTATGTGCAGGGTTGCCAATACCAGACCAGTCTGCCCATAGCCACATCCAGCCTGGCCTTGAATGCCTCCAGGGATGGAGCATCCACAATCTCTCTGGGTCATTTTTTCCTAATATCCAACCTGAACCTCCTTGGCACAACTTAAAGCCATTATCCCATGTCCTATCAAGATGTTCTAGTTGATGCTGCTGCTCCTGTTACAACAAGCAGCTGCCTACATCGCATTTGAGCTGATAAAGGAGCTGCTGTCCCTCAATCCTCAGCTTCAGAGCTAAGCCAGCCTAAAAGCAATGGAAAGGGGTTGAGCAAAGGTCCCTCACTTTGCACCAAGATGGTTAAATGTGCCACAAAGGCCAATGTCTGGCCCTAAGCAGAAGACAAGGCGACTTCCCAACCTGCTGATGAGATTCAGAAGAATATCTATGACTGCACACATGGAAAATACAGAATTTGCCTTGTCGTCTCAGTTCGAATCCAACTGTTTCCTTTTGGGGCTGGTTCTAACAGTGAGGCATTAAAGTTAACATTTATACATGGGGAAAAAGAATACCACACTTACTAGCTCACATAAGAGAAACAAAAGCAATGACTTGCCTTTTTGCATGGATAATCACGTTTCTCCTTGTCCAATGACAGTTCACTGTGAGACATGAGTGGGATTTCCAGACCCACGATATTCACTGATATCTCTTAAGTCTACAAGGGAAAGACTCTGTCCTTCAATATGTCCTGGTATAGCAGAGAACTTCATGCCTTGGACATGCAACCATGCTAAGAGGTTCCAATACTTGAAGGGAGCATAGAAAAAGGAGTATGCCTGTCTACAAGGGTGGACAGTGATAGAACAAGGGGGAATGGTTTTAAACTGAGACAGGGGAGGTTTAGGTTAGATATTAGGAGGAAGTTTTTCACCCAGAGGGTGGCAACACACTGGAACAGGTTGCCCAAGGATGTTGTGGATGCCCCATCCCTGGAGGCATTCAAGGCCAGGCTGGATGTGGCTCTGGGCAGCCTGGTCTGCTGGTTGGCGACCCTGCACATAGCAGGGGGTTGAAACCAGATGATCATTGTGGTCCTTTTCAACCCAGGCCATTCTATGATTCTATGAATGAGAGCTGGTTTCAATCTACCACATCAATATTTCATTGTGTAACTCAATATTTGAGAAAACAACAGCTTAAAAAACCAAACACTGGATGTTAAAAAGGAGGGCATCGCTGGTTTCTTTGTCGTTTCTCCCATTTCCCCCCGTCTACAACAACATTAAAACCAGAGCTGAGCTCCTGCCAATATCTTGATTTTAGAATAAGGTCTTTTGATTTAATGAGAATATCAAGCTAGTTGTATGACTTTAAAAAAAAAAAAAAAAAAAAAAAAAAGAAAGAAAAAAGAGAAAAAGAAGAAAGAAAAGAGAATTACCATATGAAAGAAGACAGCACCAGATATGTAATGGCTATTTTTCTGAACCATTCTAACCTTTTCCAAAGCAATCCTGACACATCTGCATGTGTCTCTGGGGATGCTATGTATTAGGATGCATTAGGCCATGTTAATACAGCTGGATTCGTTAGCTGGGCCGGCACAGGATCTTCCAAAACTCCGTGTGAGAAAATGAAAGGCAGCGCATGTATTATCAGAGAGTTACAATCCAGTTGCTGCTAACCCATCTGGATTCATTAACAGCAAATGGATATGATCAAAGCATAATTTTATGGCAAGGCACTTCAATGAACCCTTTTTAAAAAAAAAAAAAACCCACGCTAACAAGGAAAGTCATCCGCAGAACAATATCCATCGCCTCGCACCTGAAAACACTGCGTGGTGCTGAATCCTAACATCACGCCGAGGGGATGATTCATTACTCTTACAGCACATCGGGGTGAAGGTTTTAAAAGGGTCTCACGGCTACTAAAAATAAAGAGAGATTCCTTCGTACGACCTCCCGTCCGTTAGCTACTGCCAACGTGATACGATGAAACAGAATAGAGCCAGTCGTTATTGACACCGTGGGTTTTATCTTTCATGTATTTTGCAAACATTTATCACTGCTCCTTGATACGGCCCTTATTCTCAGTCGGACTGAAGCTTCAGATAATGTAAAGCAGCTTCAGGGCACGTATAATTTACGTGCTGACCGTAGTGCTTTCATCGGCCCAAAATGATGGAGAGGAATAAGCAGCCCCAGAGGTATTAACCCCCATTTGACAGATGGGGCAGAAAAACAACAACAACAACAAAAACCACACGATGGGATTTCCTTTTCTGTACTCACAACCTCCTCCTCTTGAAAATCCTTAATTCCCCAAGCCAAGGTTGCTCGCTGCTGAAACTCTTCCTCTTTGACTTGTGCATCCCACCTAAGGTTTAAAGTGCCTGAATTCCTCCACCCTGTGAGTCTAAAACTTCTGGCTTGCCTGGGTTGCGATGAGTGAAGAGGGATTGTCTAGGGCTGCATCCAGGAAGGCTGCTCCGAAAGTAATGCCTCCCAATTATTTCCACGGAAATGACAACAGATACAAGGAGCACAATAACGCAGTTAAATAGTGCACATTCTTGCCTACAAAACCCTTTTTTTTCCACACAGTCACCACTATCAGCTATGCATTCTCACCAGCCTGCATGCCACGCTCATAAGAATCTGCAACAGCAGAGGGGACCCAATGTCACTGTCAGCATTGTTGAAATGCACCCCTCACCACCTCACTGCGCTCACAACCACTGTTTGGTCTCCATAAACATTCAGCAAGCATCAATGAGTATCAATGGGTGCAATTTTTTCTGCATAGAGGAATTCAGTAACACTCCTTTGCTCCATACACGTTTCCATGTCAGATGCCATTCTGTCTGCTGCCATCTTGTGTAAGGGGATATTGGTGGGAAGGTTCAACCTCTACTGCCATACCACCACCATCTACTTCTGATGCTGTGGGCCAACATTATGCAACAGGAGGCACTATTTTTGGAGCAGCCCTCATAAAATATATAATGTAGTTAACAAATGTAAGTAACAAAACATGCTAATTTCTAATGCTTTTTATTAAAATATGTGAAAAAGAGGGCAACAAAACCATAAAACTAGTGGGACGTTCGACTTTGCTTTTGTGAAACTGATGCATCAGTCTGGTTTGATGGATGTGGCTGCAATTCTCAGTGAGCTCTCAAGGTGTTCATCAGAGATTTTTGATGAAATTTTACTCTTCCTGTGCTTCATCCTTGAAAACTGTTGTTCACAAATGGGTGTGCTGCCAAAAGGCGATGGTAGGAATACATGAATAAGGTGTGACTGTGAAGCGAGGGATGTTTTCCTCTGGAAAAAGAGGGCTTGCAGAAGTCTGGTAGAGAGACACGACTGGGGTGCTTGATGGGGAAAT